AATGCGAGAGCTTCTTCTTCTGTGAACACGACTACATAGGGTTGCGCGAGGGGAGGTGACCACAAATCAAATCTTCAGGTATCTGTCATTTTTTTCTAACGTTAGAAGTGTACTAAATAAATATAATTCTTTATCATCAGCTATTGATACATGTAGCGCAAAAATAGTTGCATTGACTGAAACTTGGCTCCATGCGCATGTCCGCGATCAAGAAATCTTTGATGACGCAACCAATTTTCACATGTACCGTTGTGATCGGACAGTGCGCAGGGGAGGCGGCGTTCTTCTGGCAGTCTCAAAAGACACTCCTTCTTCCTGTATTCATATTAACACTGAACTAGAGCTAGTCTGGGCTATAGTAACCATTGGTCACCATAAGATAATATTAGGTGTATGCTATCGTTCTCCCTCTTCACCTTCAACATTTGTCGATGAACTTCACGACGCAATTAATATAGTTTGCACACGATTTCCATCACATCCCCTGTTTCTCCTCGGAGATTTTAACTTTCCTAGTATAATGTGGAACGCATACGCACCCTACTCTTTACCGTCTTCGCCGCAACCAAATGAATTCATTAACCTATGTTCAACGTTTTCCCTGACGCAAGTAGTGGCCTTACCGACTAGGGCAACTACTAACAGTGCTAGCATTCTTGATCTGATACTAACAAACCGACCAGACTTTGTTACCGCTATAACCTACGCACCAGGTATCAGTGACCATTCTTTACTTTCATTTTCATTTAATGCACCCTGTCCTAATAGAGATAAAAAAAAGAAAAAGATACGGGACTATAAAAAAGCCAACTTTGACAAGATAAACAGTGAACTAGCAACTTTTCTAGACATATTTCTAAGCAGTTTTGATACCCGTTCAGTGCAGTGTAACTGGGATATGTTTGCAGATGAAGTTGAACAACTAACCAATAAGTATATCCCTTGCCGTACTATCACAACTAACGCACGTGCGCCATGGTACAACGCGTACATCAAACGCTTATCTAACCGAAAGAAACGTTTTTATCGTGCAGCAAGATGTTTACCCACTAACCACCCACGCTGGGCTGCCTACAAATCTGCATCATCCATCTACATATCTGCACTAAAATCCGCTAAAGACAACTTCCTCACTCAAGTCCTGCCGTCTATGTTACAAACAAATGCAAAAAAATTCTGGCGAGTTATTAACCCCCTATCTGACAATCATATTTCCTTGATCGATTCATCCGGTAACGAAATTAGTGAAGCCCTTTGCGCCTCTGTTCTCAACGATTCTTTTATCCAAAACTTCTCCGTAGATAGCCATAATGATTTACCTAGCGCAACCTTGCACAATTATTCACCCATGTCATCCGTGATTATCGAAACTCTTGGAGTTGTACGTCTCATTGAATCACTTAAGAACGATTCATCTCCTGGTTATGATGGTATTAACACAAAATTTTTAAAAAATACTAGCGCTTATAGTTCCATTATAGTTACTAAAATTTTTCAACAGTCACTAGATACTTCTACTATTCCTAGTCAATGGAAAATCGGAAAAGTCGTTCCACTCCATAAATCTGGTAATAAACACTCTTCGAATAATTATCGTCCCATTTCTTTAACCAGTATTTGTTGTAAAATGCTCGAGCATATAATATTTACAAACATAGTCAATTTTTAGAATCAAATTCATTTTTCACGTCAGCACAACATGGCTTCCGTAAAACATATTCATGTGAAACACAGCTAATATCATTCACTCATCACTTACATCAGATCCTTGATAAATCATCCCATGCTGACTGTATTTTTTTAGATTTTTCAAAAGCTTTTGACAAGGTTTGCCATAGACTTCTACTTTACAAACTACACCAACTAAACCTTGACGGTAACCTACTAATGTGGATTGAATGCTTTCTCACTAACAGATCACAATTCGTTACTGCCAACTGTCATAATTCTCCATTTCGCGAAGTTCATTCTGGCGTTCCGCAAGGGTCCGTCTTAGGTCCCTTGTTGTTTCTCATTTATATTAATGACCTGTCATCAGTTGTATCATCAAAAATTCATCTATTTGCTGACGACTGTGTTATTTTTCGAGAAATTACTACCGATAATGACATTAATATATTACAGTCTGACCTTAACGCTATATCTAACTGGTGTGATAAATGGCTAATGGACCTAAACATTAAAAAGTGTAAAATCATGCGTGTATCAAGAAGTTGCACTACTTCACCTATTTACTATCTTAATAACATTCCTTTGGATTCTGTTAACTCTTATAAGTATCTTGGAGTTCACATAACAACTAACCTCAACTGGACAACTCATATTGAATACATCATTATCAATGCTAACCGCATGCTTGGCTATTTACGACGTAACTTTTTAAGGCTCCATATGACTTAAAACTGCTACTTTATAAAACACTAATACGCTCTAAACTAGAATATGCTACAACCGTGTGGGACCCTACCTATAATAACCTGGTAACTTCCCTTGAACTTGTTCAGAATAACTCCGTTCGTTTTATATTGTCCAATTATAACAGAACCGCTAGCATTTCAACCATGAAAACTTCACTTGCACTTCCTTCCTTAGCATCTCGCAGAAAAGTCTCCCGTCTAACTCTATTTCACAAGATCTACCATCATCCCATCTTGCATGCCCAACTACTACTTCGCCCACAGCACATTTCCCACCGCATTGACCACCATCGCAAAGTAGGCATCCCTTCATGCAACACAAAAACTTTTTTCAATTCTTTTTTGCCTCGCACATCAAAGGAGTGGAACAGACTTCCCGGTGACATTGTTGCTATTACTGATAACAATTTGTTCCATGATGCTTTAGCTAACATTGTGTAATAAGTTCTTTTTTTTGTGTTTTGTTGCAACAGCTAACATTGTATATTTAGGCTTGTTGTTGTATTACCTAACATGTATTATTATACAGCATATTAACAAACATTGTGCTCTTCCAAATTTATTTGTACGATTTAACCGTATTCACTGCTTTTTTTGTTAAATTCAATATTTTATTGTAAATAACCCACCCCCCTCTGTAATGCCATTTGGCCCTGAGGGTAAAATAAATAAATAAATAAATAAATAAATAAATAAATAAAAGTGCATCTATTAGTAATCATCAAGCCTTTCTTGATCGGTTGCATAAACATTTTTTTTAGATAGCATCATGTCGTCACCATTTCTTTTTTTTTTTCGGCAAAGTCTTCCTACAGTTTTTTTTTTTTTCACTAGCATGTGCCAAGTGTGTAATTTTTTCATGAAATAGAAAATGCTACTGCTCTGTACGAACATGCTTTGCACTGTATATATTGTAATGCGGGCTGAAAGAGAGCAAAAGAAAAAGAAGCAGGACGAGCTCGAGCGGTGGCTATTCGGCAGTGTCAGGTGAGCGCTCGTTTTTCAGTGTGAACAAACTCCTCACCTCCGTAACTGCTTTAGTAAAGTGGTGCCGGGTAATTCGCCATCCTTGACCCCGCAGCAGAAGACTTTTAAAGAAGCAGACGCTTAGCTGGGCTACCTCCGGTTACCGCACAGTTACAGAACGCCGGTATGAGTTCATAAGTTACCGTGACTATAGCATGTCTAATGATGTGTCCATAATTGACACTTTAGGTACCAAACTTGATACATTTAATGAGCTTAGCTCGACTTGGAATGTGAACCGATTGGTGTCTTATTTTGAAAACCTTGTTAAAAAATGTCTTGACAATTATGTTCTGATAAAAACTAAGTAAAACATTGAACTGTAAAGTCGTTTGTGCCCCGTGGCACACGTGTCTCGCACAGAAGCCACACTTCGAAAATGACAACTATTGAGAGATAGGTAGCGTTGTGTTCGCGAGCGGTGATCATCACTATCATCATCATGGTTGGTAGAGCAGTAGTGCCGGCGGTGACCCCTGGCGGAAAGCAAGCCTTAGTGGCACGTGAAAGAGAGCGAGTCTCTTTTGGCATGGGGCGGTGGCACGAACGGTTGCCTGCCGTGGACGGCACCGCGGGCTGTCTGCGGTGAGACCGCGCGGCGAGTCAAGCATTGGCGACGACGCCTTTTGTGTGCTCTTGTGTTTGTTATGTTGCTACGTGCTGAGCAATATTGTGTAAAGATGTCTTAGCGGGTTGACCACGATTGATGTATAATAATTCGGCGGACGATGCCGTGCTAAAGCAGTGAAATAAATGTGTGTGTGCTTCATTTAGACCGACCACGTCTACTGTGTCCGTTCACTCCAAGAGGGTAGCGCTCCCCACTTCGAGACTACACAGAGTCTGTTGCCTCTCGGGCAGTGGCAAAGAGTTCATCATTTGGTACAGAGTAGAATAAGGTCTCAATGTCCTTACATTGGCCAAATGGGCGAATGTCTAAACGACAGATTAAGGGAGCACTCGGCTACGATCAAGGCTCAGAATGGCAGAGCGCTGCAAGATGTGCAGTTGCACAGCACTTTTCGAGGAGGCTGACGTAAGTTGAGAAAAGAGCCGTGGCCAGAAAGAAGTCGCAGGATGACCAAAATTGCAGCTCTTATGCAAAATAAGCACAGCATTTATGTATTCATCAAGAAAATGAAGTGTGTTGATGAAATGGGTTTAATGCTTCCTTGATACTGTTACAGAGGAATGAAATGAATGACGAGCAAGCTCACAGGCACCTCAGTGGGCTGATCAGCCATCTTAACTCTTGGTGGTGTCTTATAACACATACGCAACCAATTGCATAACATATTGGAGGAGGTGTGGGGTAAAACAGAGGCAACAAAGCTCCCCAGCAGATATCGCATTGCTTTTCTCCAACCCACATGTACACCTTAACACTTCACAATAGTACTTTCAAAAACTTATCATTCAGTTAATTTTTTTTCCCAGTCTCCTGAAGCCCGAATAGGTGAGCTTTCACTGTACAACTGTATTAGCAAATGAAGTATCCTATGGTACAACTGTAGTGTGCAGCAAGTCAGAATCTAAATACCAAAAGACAGAGCTTACCAGAGTGAAACTGTTTGGTGAGGCAGCCCAGCGACGAACCGTAGTCAGGGGCCACACTTTCATGATCTGCGAAATGACACACAGTCACACAGAGTGTAAACTAAAAAGGCCGCAAACAAAAAGGCACACCTCCTTGGTGCGCTCATCCAGGCGCATGACACTGTCCTTGGTGACCCCAAGCAGCCGAGGCACTAGCTTGTTCTTTCCTTTCATTTTCTCCTACACATAAGGAAATTCATCAGCAGAGCAAATCACAAAACAGTGAGCCAGCTCACCTTGACAAGAAAAAAGGTCACACCATAGGTCTTGAGGGAGCGAGCCAAAGCGACATACTTCACTTTGGCATCGAGCTCAGATGTGCCAATGTTCTTGCGGTGCTCCTGAAAGGCAAAGACTTGAGCCACGCAAGAAGGCACAGCTGCAGCAAAAACACTCACCGCAAATATCTTCTTCTCGATGCCTTTGATCTTGGCATAGTCCTTTGGCAAAAACTCCTTCAAGCTGCAGAGAAGGCCAAACTTTAGAACCCCTTCCACAGCGTGAAAGCCCGATAGGCTGAACTCACTCCAGGAAACCGGCCTTGTGTTTAGTCTCGTTGTGATCACCAAACTGTATCTGGCACTGGAGGCCTGCAAACTTGCAGGCTTCTTCCAGTGTGACTGGGTGAGTCGTGTTCAGGATGGCATCTCGAGCCTGCACACACGTTGTCTCTTGCTTACAATCTCTCTTCATGTAACGAGTGGGGAATGCAATGACTGTGTTACGGAGATCAGTAGAGTTCCAGCACGCTGCTCTGAGACACCCCTTGATAACAACTGAGGCTCATGAACTAGTACAAATTAAGTTAAGCAAGCCCACCTGAACATACAGCAGGTTGAGCTGAACGGGGTCTCTCGAGTCAACGTTTGAGTCGGAAAAGAAGTACTTTCGTCGCAAGGTAAGCATCTCATCTTCATCCACTCCCAGCTCACGCAGTGTCTTGGAGTGGTCCACCCAATTCACTGCAAGTGAGTGCACTCATGAGCAAGACATACCACGGCAAGGCATTTACTTACAATCGTCATCAGTCTTGAGTTTTTTCTTGAGCTGTTCCATTTTCTGGTCGCGATCTTTGTCCTTTTTCTCCTGAAAGGTTACTCATTTCGTCAGGGTCACTCTTAATTGCACGCAAACAGTATTAAAAAATAGTACAAATTAAGCAAGCACAACTCACCCTGCGAAGGGTCAGTGTTCCAGTGTAGGGCTCCTTGTTTTCATCTGGTAGGTCACGTACCAGGGAAAACTCGTCGTGGTTGGTGATGCCTGTTCAAAGAGAGGCATTACAACATTCAAAGACTGGACAACTAGAGTTTATTTAAGGGACATGCACAAGAGGCAAGTGTTCCTATGCAAATGGCACAACTCACTTTTAGAGATACACTATGGTGTCACCCCACCCAGGCGGCCCGCCACCGTGGTACTAGGCAAGCAGTGTATGAGAATCATTATCAAAGGCCCGACCACACGTATACGTCTAAATGCACGTGCAAGTGTATCTTGCACGTGTTGTGAAGAACGGCCTGTTACGCATTCAAGTGTGCGCTCACTGCAAGCAGGCACAACCGGCCTCGTGTCACTTCATACTGGACTGCTTATGAGCTTCAAAATGGGCTTGACCACTCTCTGCTAGTCAAGCTGGCGCTGGCATAGCATGGCCCGCATGGCCAGGCAAGCACATATTATTTGAGTGCAGTGCGCATCACTGCCATGTGCATGACACAGTGTGCACCACCATGTGACCCATAGCGACACAAGTCAGCTTCGGTCAAGGGAAGACAACTCCAGTACGGCAGCCTTGTTCACAATGAAAGAGGGAGGGGGGGGGGACATCACAGAGTTCCCTGAGGAGTCCTTGAAAATCGCCTGTCCTGCTGATTGATGCACATGAGAAAATAGAGTTTCTTCTAGTGCTATTACCAGGTCTGAAAGGGACGCGAGTTTCTTGCTTTCTTTCAATGTGTTCACGTTTCGCCCATGTTAGCAAAACTTGGGGCAGAACTCGCTATGATGAATGCACGTTCGCCACGTGACAAACCTTTCTTATACTGCAAGATACAAGAAACCCTCATATGCGAGTTTGGTTATTATTTGCTCTTGTGGCAGATGTTTACAGGTGCATCAATAACACAAACCACTCAAGAGGATGAAGGACAACGAGGGAAGGAACACACGCTTCCCTTCTTCCTTCAGTGTTCTGTAGCCTAGGATGGACTAGTGAAGTTTTGCAGTCGGCAGTGGCGGGACTACAAGAGTGATACAAAGTATGACCTTTCACCTTAAGCCCCTAACCTATTGTCCAGCCACAACAAGCATTTTTTTATCACCTATTATAATGCCATGCCAAGCCTTTCTGTCCTTGAACATTACACACACTAACTATTACAGTTAAACTGATAGCTTGGCGATGTGCGCGCTAGAGAAATGTTCAAATATGGACTTTTCTTCTTAAAGGGTCACATGTGGAATACTCACCAATCTTGGTGCAGATGACTACCATGAGGTTGGCAATGGGCTGACTGTCATCCACCAGCACTGTCTTCACGGAGCCGTCCAACATGCGCACGCGGAGTGGCCGCAGTTTCTTGCGGTACTCCAGGGTATCCTACATGGACCGCAATCATTAGAGCACTCTTTTTGCCAGAAATCACTACTCCCTAAGCACAAGTATTGGAACAAGAAATGCCTCTGCTATGTGAAAAAGACAGGTATTGTTTTATGCAGTGCTTGTAGTCATTTACCAATGAAAAGCAGATGAGGTCCCTTCATCACCTTCCTCCCATCAACCAACACACGGCCACTCCATGCATTGTGCCTCGCCTGCAAGTGCAGCCGATGCGCTTGCACGCACATGCCAAATCTCTTATTTTTGTCTCAAGCTCCAGCCTCAGATGTTCCTCTCGTCACCCACTCTATTTACGGCGCCCATTCACGCTGATAACGGATCGCAAATCTCTGCAGACTATTCTGGGCCCAAAGTCTGACATAACAACCTTGCCAGCACCAAGACTTCATCGTTTGGCAGTGACGTTATCTGCCTACATGTACACATTGAAGCTTCGACCGACAAAAAAAAATCTAGAGGCTGACTGCTTGTTTCACTTGCCAGTTCATCAGGGCTCCTCTAATAATGCAGAGGAAGCATTCTATTCGTTACGCTTGCAGTCAATGTCGGTGACGCACAAAGACATTGCACATGCAACCTCGCATGACCAACTTCTTTGCAGAGTGCTCGAGCTCACAAGTACGGAGTAGCCTAACTTTACGGATGATGCGGAGCTCAAGCCTTTCTTCAACAGGTGGACACAGCTGACAACACACCGAGACTGCCTCTTGATGGAAATGCATGTAGTTGTGCTTGCAAAGCTGCGGTCTCTCGTTCTACAAGAACTTCACGACGGTCATCCAGGTATTGTGCGACCCAAAAAGTTGATTGATTGATTGATTGATTGATATGTGAGGTTTAACGTCCCAAAACGACTATATGATTATGAGAGACGCGGTAGTGGAGGTCTCCGGAAATTTTGACCACCTGGGGTTCTTTAACGTGCACCCAAATCTGGGCACACGGGCCTACAACATTTCCGCCTCCATCGGAAATGCAGCCGCCGCAGCCGGGATTTGATCCCGCGACCTGCGGGTCAGCAGCCGAGTATCTTGGCCACTAGGTCACCGCGGGGGGCGACCCAAAGAGTTGGTTCGCAGCTATGTTTGGTGGCCTTCAATTGATGCGTACCTCGAGTCTCACGTCAAAGGATTCAAATCTTGCCAGGAGCAGTGTATTGTCTTTCACAGTGCTCCTTTGCACCCATGGTCATGGACAACATCCCCTTCAAAACTAGTGCACATCAATTTAGCTGGTCCTTTCCAGCATCACATGTTTTTAGTTGTGGTGGATGCGCATTCTAAATGACCAGAGGTGTACATCATGATAAACACAACTAGCACAGCAACCATCAATTGTCTTCGCAAAATGTTTAGCCGTTTCAGCCATCCCGCAACAATTGTGTCTAACAACAGCCCACAATTCAAGTCTGTCAAGTTCCAGATGTTTGTGCGAGAGATAGAAGCACGTCACGTCACAACAGCGCCTTATCACCCAAGTTCTAATGGCTTCGCAGAACATTTTGTTCAGTCCCTAAAGACAGCCATGAAAAAAGATTTAAATACTGGAAGCCTGCAGGCCAGCCTTGACAGCTTCTTGCTTGCTTATTGGAGTACACCCCCCGCTACAACGAAAGAAGCGCCGGCTAACCTTATGTTCAGTCGCCGTATTCGTTCCAAACTGGACATTCTCAAGCCAGAATTGGAAGAATTAGTTCGACACCAGCAATTTATTAATTCCAGCCAGTACAGTTCCAAAGCTCGACATTTTGCTGTAGGCAACTCTGTGCTTGTTCGAAATTACAGGGGACCACCCAGATGGATTCCAGGTACTGTGGCACGGCAGAAAGAACCTGCTTTGTATGCTGTCAAAGTACACACACCCTGAGGCCTGGACATGTGGCATCGTCGCCAAGATCAGCTTCTTTTGGGGGCAGCTGACATTTCTAAGGGTGAGGAGAACAAGGACACCTTCTGGAAGTTCTTGGACGCCCCTGCGGAGATGCCTACGGCAGCGTCCGCTGTCTCCCAGGCAGCACCACCAGTATGAAGATATCCCGTATGCAATCGACAAGCACCAGACCGCTGCAAGCCATCTTAGTTTTGTGTAACTGTAGCTCCCCACAATTTTAGCGGGAGAAAATGTCATGTATGGGATAGCACCACGTGTTGTAGATAAGAGCGGCCAGCCAAGCTTCCCAGTAACCATGTGACCCGACTGTGACCTGTATAGAGCTGGCACGTCTAGGCTGCTGCCCGCTCACACTTTTTCATTTGCTTTTGCACTGTCATACGTGTGACACAATGTAGCAATAAAAAGTTTGCTATGACTACGTTAGTCTCCGGGCTTTGAACGTAACAGCGTGTTGCACTATAATATATGATTCGCTTGTTCTCGGGGGCCTCAACATCGGCAGAGTTTCTGGACCATACTCAAAACATGTAGCAGGGCCACTTTATACTGATGTTCTTCTTTCCTTAAAGTTCCTCCACTTTCTACTTTTGAGTGGAAAATATGTTGCATGTTATATGCAGTACTGACGCCACTTTGCGAGCAAGGCTGGCTTGTGTCTGAAAAATTAACAGTGTTTTCATCCCTGCTCACTCATGGTTTTGCACAACAACTTCACAAAGGCGTGCATGTTGTTGTCATAATGGTGCTAAATATCTGCTGCCAAGATGTGTTAAGGTCTTGCTCTTGAGCAGCATGAAGGCAACCGGAAACAATGAAGTTCCACACGCTTTAACTGCAAGCAAGGTTCTAACTTTTTCGCTACCGTGGGAAAAGGAGCCGTCTTTACTAGGTGAAAAAACATTTTTTGCGGCTTGATATTATAGCCTTATTTACAGGTACCAAACTGTAGCTAAAAGAATGTTCTGTTCAATAACACAAATTTTGTATATACAATCATTACACACATTTAGAAAAAATGTTTATAATGAAAAAGTTTAGTGATTATACAATGAACACTTTAAAAATGAGGACAACCTGAAAAATAATGAGGTTAAAAATAATTCAAGATAAACAGTTTGAAGTTTATTATGCTGTAAAAAGGCTGTACAAGTTTCAAAAATTATTGCAAAAAAACTGTTCTTTCAACAAAAAAGAAAGTAAGTGTGCAGAAGTATACAGATTATCCTGTGCAGCTTGCTGTCGCTGACAGGGTCTGTGCTCCGAGTCCATGGCACTTGGCAAAGCAAAGAATAAAATGAGGCCTGAAAATAGCTATGAGGTATTCCAGCAGAGATGAAGGTGAGGCAATTCAAAATATTCCATGCAGATGAGTATTTCAATACACTTTATCACTTGATCAGGAATGAAGTTCTTCCACGAATCATCTCTTTCCACGCATGTCTGCTTCTCCAAAATATGCATACACGCATATTTCTTCCTGCAGCCGCAGATCATGCTGGTCAGCTGAGCAGTGAAAGACAGCTGGAAAAAATCGACGGCCTGGACGAAGCTGTAAGCCCGACTCCGGAGCACGTCTCAAACTTCAACCCCCAGGTTTCATCTCGAAAGAAACTGCACACGCCTGATAGATGCTAGCAAGAAATAATGTTCGTAGGAAGTCGAGACACTCAAAATGAGTAAAATTGCTGCGAGTAACCACTCCACCGCCCTTAACTACTAATTAGACAACAAAATGTGCACCACACATACAGCCGACACTCGATCAATGTTGCGACTTGACTTGATGCATTCTTGTTACTAGTGCTGAAATTTGATAAGTGAACATTTTCTCCAGGCTCACTGCTGCTGATTTCATCCTCAAAATCTGCTCTCCATTTGCTCAATTCGCAAGAAATAGGTCTTTCAGGAACATCCATACGGGAAAACGACGACATGATCAGTGCACTTATGCAACAACCCGTAACCGAGAGAAAAGTTTCCTAAAGCAAAAACAACCAACACATAGCAGACGTCGTTGTGCATTTCCAACTTTCTTACCTAAGTGGCGTTAGGCACCCACAAACATCACGAGTGCGCAAAAATTTAAACTTGAAATGCATCATTCAAATTGAACGATTTGAATAGGCGCAGTAGCGAAATAGTTAAAAGGTGCTGGTTTCAATCAGAGGCTAGCAAAACAGTGCATCATCTGCTGCTTCAGTGTAATTGGGGAGAAAACAACTGCCATTTTGTTATCAAAGAGTGATCTTAGCATCTTTTCATAGCCCCTGAGTCCTACGCCCATTTTCGTGCTGAACACTCGTTCACTTTCATCTTATCATCATGGCTTTGCTATCCCCTGACGAGGCTTAACATATGCTAGATGATAGTAATCGCTCCTTGGTTCATTTCAACGCGCGTAGCCTCCGCAAAAATTCAGACAATATTTATAACTTTATAGATTCACTCGCGCATTCTTTATCCATCATTTGCATCTCTGAAACATGGCTCTGCACTTATGACGTCCATCTGTTCGGCCCGTCATCGTACGAAGCCAAGTATTGTCACCATTGTTCAGACAGCTATGGCGGCTCAGCAATATTTATCGCCCCAGATCTGTCCTACACCCGCCGACAAGATCTTTCCTTAGGCCTCTCGCACTGCGAATCCGTGTGGATCGAATTAGATAATTCTTTTTTTAAACGACAATAACAACGTTATTCTGGGGTGTATTTACCATTCCCCTTCTTCGAATATGAGGAATTTCATTTCTCGCCTAAATACCATTCTGCATCAGTTATCATCTGAAGGCAAGCGCGTTGTCCTAGTTGGAGACATCAGCATCAATTTGCTTAGCACAGACGAGAATTGTGCATGCACAGAATATAATGACTGCTTCAGTGGATACGGTTTTGAGTCTCATTTCATCATCTACTAGATGTCCTATTTCTGGTGTTGCTTCATTGCTTGATCATGCCATCTGTAATTTCTCGCCCTCTCCCTCTGCAGGAGTACTTGATGTGAACATCACTGATCATTATCCCATATTTCTTGCTTTCAACGTCATGAAGCCATTTGATCTACTCACGCGTGTTACTTCCGTACTGGACCAAGAATTGTTTTTCAATGCCATTATTAAAACTGATTGGTCCAGTGTTACGTCCTTAGGCAATGTAGACCAGGCATTCAACAAGTTTTCTTCCCTTTTCCTTAAAGCCGTAGAAGAAAGTACTGAAACAGTCAAATGTAAAAAGAGGTACAAATATCCTAAGAACCCATGGTTATCTGAGCGACTGCTAAAAAGTATGCGTAAAAAAGATAACCTGTACAGAAAAGTAAAAAAACAACCATTTAACACTGCTTTAGCTTCACGCTATAAAAAATACTCGAATGTTCTTTCGTGTCTCTTGAAAAATGCCAAGAAAAAATATTATGATGACCAAATATCTAGTGAAAAAAACAACTCTAAAAGACAATGGCAACTCTTAGACGATTTTCTAAATCGATCAATACATAGTTCACCTTTGCAGAAAGTCATATATAAAGGCGTTACACATGATAACCCTGAGTGTTGCTGATGCTTTTAGAAATTATTTTTTCGAAATTTTTAGTGAAAAACATAGCAGTTCTTGTTGTAATCTACAACGTTCTAATCATTCTATTCTTTTCCCCGTGAGCCCTGATGATGTTTCTACAGCAATCAAAAGTCTCAAAGAAACCGGCCCTGGTATAGATAAAATCTCAGCACGACACTTAAATCTTGCAGTAGACATCATTTCTGAACCACTTTCTATAATTATAAACCTTGCGTTCAAAGCATGGCAGTTTCCCTACTTCTCTAAAAATAGCTAAAGTCCTTCCAATCTTTAAAAAGGGTGAAAAGCAATCTATTTCTAACTATCGCGCCATCTGTATTCTTTCTTCCCTGAGCAAAGTCATCGAAAAACTGCTAATAACTCGGCTAAAGTACCTTGATAAATTTAATATACTGAAGCCCTGTCAATTTGGCTTTCGCGCTGGAAGTTCTACTAACCTTGCTATTCTTTTCCTATCAGACTTCGTTGAACACTCCTTAGACGCAGGATTTGTAGTAGGGTCAGTTTTCTTAGACTTCACAAAGGCATTCGATACCATTAATCATCTCATTTTATCCAAGAAACTCGAATCATACGGTATTACAGGTCCATTCCTCAAATTTTTAAACAGTTACCTCCTTAACAGAAATCATACTGTTTACATATCAGGCTCATTTTCTTCTACTAAAACAATAAATCAAGGGGTTCCTCAAGGGTCATTACTGGGTGCGTTACTTTTTTTACTTTACATTAATGATCTTCCTGACATTATACACATGCCTCACTGCATTTTATATGCTGATGATACTACCATTTCCATTGCTGATAGATGTATTGACGTCACTAATAAATTATATGCTGTACTTTGTAGCATGTCAAAAAGGTGCCAGGAAGATTTCTTAATTATTAATCCAAATAAATCTAAGTTTATGGTTTTAAGATCAGCTCAACGCAAGTTAACTTCCTCACCACAGCTCACAGTTGACTCTCATTTGATTAATATCAGCGACAGTGTATCTTTTCTTGGCGTTCACCTCGACGCTAACCTTAACTTCGCTCTCCATATTGATCACATTAAAAAAACGGCAGCATTCGGCATTCGCGCATTGCTCAAAGCTCGCTCATATTTTTCTCATAAAGCAGTCCTTTCACTTTACTTCGCATTCACTCATTCTCATATCACTTATGGCATCGCATCATGAGGGAATACTTACCAGTGTCATCTTTCATCCGTTCAACATCTACAAAATCTAGCTATTCGCGCTATTTTTAACCGTTCTCGCGACAGTAGCGCCGCTCCCCTTTTTCAATGCAATAAAATCTTAACTGTTAGCTATCTATTCAGGTTTAATGTAAGTATGTTTCTGCATAAACAAATAAGAAACCAACTTTCTGCTAATTTCATTGATCCTAAGATGTTAGTTAATACTAACACAACCAGGTTTACGGCTAATAATAACTTTTTACTTCCTAAGGTTCGTACTAACTATGGCAAATCATCTTTTTTCTTCTGTACCATCACCATATGGAATAATTTGCCCACTTCGCTAAAATGCAAAGTTTCTTTATTTTCATTTAAAAACTCATTAAAAGAGTACCTGTTAAATAGTTGATCTATCTTCTTCGTGTTTTATGCTGTATTATTTGTTTTTTGATTCCATGCCTTTTTGTTTTCATTCTGCTTTATATATTTTTGTTCCTACGATTCTAACAGCTGCTTGTGCTTTTATTATTTCTTATCATCACCGAGGGTCCCGTTGCAGTCTTGTACTTTGGGACCCTCGTCTGTATATTTTACTCCCTGTAACATCCTTTTATGACATGATTGATTGATTGATTGATTGATTGATTGATTGATTGATTGATTGATTGATTGATTGATTGATTGATTGATTGATTGATTGATAACTACACAGCACTCCATGTGTTGTGCAGCAGACATGTGTGAGGAAAAGGAACTGCGACTGCAAGGTGGAAAATCACGAAAGTATTGGAACAGGTAGAAGAAGTGGCCATACGCGAATCCGGTATCTCGATGCAGACAAGCGTTGTAGCGCACAATCCTCAACAAAAGTCAACTTTTGCTATCCACTTGTGCTTGTAAAGTATGTATACACTTGATTCTAACACATATCTATTTTCTTTTACAAAGTGAGTCTGAAAATTGCCCGCATATTACTAGTGACCACAAAACAAAAACCTCGATCATGACGCAGGTGCAACTGAGTTTAATTTGTGGTGTGTTCACATAAGCATCTCTTGCCACTAAACAGCAAGCAGTGATTATCAAAGCTGACATCAAAAGAATGCATTTTGTAATCTGAAGATGACTGCACTGCACTACATATACTGTTTTGCCTGAGGCTCATCTCCAAGCACAATGAAGATCCCCAGTTGCCCATCTATCGCACTGCACTCATACTGTTTTGCCTGAGGCTCATCTCCAAGCACAATGAAGATCCTCAGTTGCCCATCTATCACAAACAGCTTCAGCAAGCCCTAAATAGAAAAGTACCTCCTGTGCACCCAGCTTGTCAAAGTTCTTAAAATTAGCATGCCTGCCTAGAGCAAGCAGAAAAACTCGATCACAAAAAAATAGAATAGATATCATTCCATAATTTCTTTTTTAAAAGCATTCCTCACAATATATATTGCAAGTAAATATTCAGATGGAAGAGAAAAAAAACAGTTACCCCTGACTTGAGGAGGTAGTAGCCGAGGGCCTTGCCGTTTTCAAGCCAGCAGCCAGACTTTTTTGGGTCATCATCTGTCAGAAACAGCCCATACTCCTTGGCTGAAAAAAAAAAAAAAGTCAGTACGTGGCTGTCAACTCTTTCTTTACAACATCTATTGAAATTGATCACCGGTGTTCGACGCTTTTGGACCATCGATTTTGGCATGTTGAATTTGTTTGCCTTGCACCCAGCTCATTCTAGTAGTTACTCCAGCGATTCAACTTTCAGAATCAATTTGAATTTGCCCGTTTTGGCAGCATAGTGATTTTTGAGATATCTTTGCACGAACCAATGTAGTGTGTTGTTGGAAAAGTGCACCAAGCTGGCGAACTTGACAAAAATGCATGCTCTTCGCGATTATACTACAGTGACATCAATGTTCTGTAATGAAAAGACCTTTTGCAAGCCAAATACTGAATTACAGTGTCACTTCGCAATTTTACCATTTTGAGCAGTAATAATTGCCAGAAATTTATGCTAGCTATTCAATGGAGAGCTGTTTCTAAGGAGTTAGGAAACATTTGTTCAACAAAAAAATATTTATGAAGGTCCACCGCATGTTTAAAGTGTTGAGGTGGCCTTATCTCACAGTTTCCGGCCAGCAGCTTTGGTTTTGTTTGCATCATATCAAATGCAGGGTCTCATCTAGTGCCACTAGTCACAAAAACCTCGATCAAGAACCTCGATGACGTAGTCATCAGGCGCGCATGGGTGCGCACCAGCGCTGCAAAACATGTGCTGGTCGAAACTGTCTTGAAACCCCATCTGAATTGAGTGAGGAGAACGACAGCACCTCAGCTTCAAGTTTTATGGCGACCATGTTTTGCGTCAGCCTGAGACATTTGCAGCCGTTGATGGGTTTGTCTTGTTCACATTCTCAAGTTGTCTCCTCTACCGCAAGCGCGAATAGCTTCTGACCTTTGTGCACAATCATATAGCAACTCTGCTTAGGTGCGTAGTCCACACTTCGTTGGGGCGCGGTGTGCTGGTACTGGCTGCAGAGCTTCTCCTAATGACAAGAAGGCCCCCAGAGCACATCATGGCACTGACTAAAGAGAAAGTCGAAATGTTTCAGGAAAGTGTGCAATATTGTCCTTTCTTATTACGATATGTGCAAGAATACAAAGTGTGGCGAAGCCTTCGAACAGTGGGTCGTCCTCTTGAGCGCCTTCTAGTGGGTTGCCCTTTTTTAGCAAAAAGAAGAGCAGCGCGTGCAGAGAGTTGGTACCCGCATTGACTGTCGCTGTCAAGCATCGTCGACAAGTGTCCGCCAATAAACGTCTCAACAATTTGGTGGAGAGTGCTGTGCAGCGTGGAACCCATCGAAGACGAACAAGTTATTGATCAACCCGATGACATGCACTGCTCAAGTTCCAGTACACTTAGTGCTGTTTCGACATCTGCTTTATCATCCGATGATGTATTCGGTCCCTCCTTTCCCAACAGCCTTACGCCAAGCCAGCGTTCCTAGCTTCTGGGCCTGTTGGAAGAGTTCCGGTCTTCTTCTGATGTCGCCCAACCTTCTCTCCGCCGCACATCCACCGTTACGCATCGCATCGACACAGGCACACAGCCACCACTGCGGCAACGTCCATATCGCGTATCTCCCATAGAACGCCATGTAATGAACGAGCATGTCGACGACATGCTTCACCGTGATGTTATTCGACCCTCTAGCAGCCCCTGGGCGTCTCCTGTCGTTCTCGTCGCGAAGAAGGACGGTTCTGTGCGGTTCTGTGTGGACTACCGACGCCTCAACAAGATCACTCGTAAGGACGTGTACCCACTACTGTGTATGGATAACGCGATTGACAGCCTGCAAGGAGCCGAATTCTTTTCATCTCTAGATTTGCGCTCAGGGTACTGGCAAATACCTATGGCTGAGGACGCTCGACCGAAGACCGCTTTCGTCACTCCCGATGGCTTGTACGAATTCAACGTCATGCCGTTTGGGCTGTGCAATGCGCCCGCCACCTTTGAGCGCATGATGGATACCGTTCTGCGTGACCTGAAATGGCACACGTGCCTGTGCTACCTCGATGACATCGTCGTTTTCGCTCCGGACTTCTCCACGCATCTTCAACGCTTGCGGCATGTTTTAACGCGTCTGAGTGACGCCAGTCTGCAACTGAACCTAAAGAAGTGCCGATTTGCAGCTCGGCAGTTGACAATACTCGGCTACGTCGTGTCGAAGGACGGAATTCTCCCCGATCCAGCCAAGCTTCGGGCAGTGACCGAGTTCCCCAAGCCGACATCCGTCAAGGAACTGCGCAGTTTCATAGGACTGTGTTCCTACTTTCGGCGCTTCATCCGAAACTTCGCGTCCATCGTATCGCCGCTGACAAAGCTCCTCGGTAGTAACGGGCCTCTCCATTCGTGGTCATCACAGTGTGACGACGCATTCACAACGCTCCGTCGTTTGTTGACGTCGCCTCCCATACTCCGCCACTACGACCCTACTGCCCCTACAGAGGTACACACGAACGCCAGTGGTGTCGGTCTTGGCGCTGTCCTTGCGCAGCGCAAACCAGGGTTCCCGGAATATGTCGTGGCGTATGCAAGCCGTACGCTTACAAAAGCCGAGACTAATTACACCGTCACTGAGAAAGAATGTCTGGCAATCGTCTGGGCCCTTACCAAGTTCCGACCTTATTTGTATGGTCGCCCATTTGATGTAGTCACCGACCATCACGCACTATGCTGGTTGTCATCATTGAAAGATCCCTCAGGCCGTCTCGCCCGGTGGGCACTTCGCCTGCAAGACTATGACATCCGCGTGCTGTACCGCAACGAAAGGCAACATGCTGACGCCGACCCCCTGTCACGCTCTCCATTGCCTAACGACAATGCCCATGACTCAGCGTCTCACCTTGCCGTTTCTTCCATTAGAATTCATGCCGTTGCTACTGAACAGCGCAAGGATCAATGGATTGCCTCACTGATAGACTTGCTGACTGATCCATCCACTCCATCCACTCGCGCGTTGCGTCGTCAAGCCCACCATTTCGCCGTTCGCGGCGACCTTCTCCACCGACGCAATTACAACGGTGACGGCCGCCAGTGGCTACTAGTCATACCCCGCAGTCTGCGCTCTGACATATGCGAATTCTTTCATTCTGATCCGCAATGTGCGCACTCCGGGGTATCGAAGACTTACCAGCGCATTCGCCAACGGTACTTTTGGCACGGCATGTACCGCTATGTGCAGAGATTCGTTCGCTCCTGCATAGAATGTCAGCGCCGCAAAACTTCAACGCACCCGTCGCCGGTAGGTCTGCAACCTCTATTTTGCCCTGCCAGGCCGTTTGGGCGCGTTGGCATCGATTTGTATAAGCCACTTCCACTAACGTCGGCTGGTAACCGCTGGGCCATTGTTGCTGTGGACCACCTCACACGATACGCCGAAACTGATGCTCTCCCCACGGCTACAGCGAGCGATGTGGCCTCTTTCCTGCTCCAACGATTCATGCTGCGACACGGTCCACCTCAGGAACTGCTCAGTGATCGAGGCCGCGTCTTCCTGTCTGAAGCCATCGAAGCCATTCTCAAAGAGTGCAACGTTGTTCACCGCAAAACTGCTGCTTACCACCCGCAGACGAACGGCCTCACTGAACACTTCAACCGTACGCTCGGCGACATGCTCTCCAAGTACGTCGCCGCCGATCACACAAATTGGGATTCCATTCAACCCTTCGTCACCTACACATATAACACCGCCCCTCAGAGCACTACTGGCTTTTCACCTTTCTTTTTATTATATGGAAGGCACCCGTCGCACACCATCGACATTATACTTCCGTACAAGCCAGATCCGTCAGAGTGGGCGCCTATTTCTGCTACAGCCAAGCTTGCTGAAGAGTGTCGAGAGCTTGCAAGGACCTTTACAGCGCATGATCAAGAGCGGCAAAAAGGCATTCGCGCTGACACCAGCACTACTGCGGCCACGTTCCTCCCTGGAGCGCTCGTCTGGCTCTCGATCCCTACCACTTCAACTGGCCTATCTTCAAAACTATTGCCCAAATACGAAGGCCCCTACCGTGTCGTCGAACGCACTTCCCCTGTAAATTACTTGATCGAACCCATCGAACCATCTTCGGACATGCGCCGTCGAGGGCGCGACATTGTCAACGTGGAGCGCCTCAAAGCCTACCACGACCCGCTCATAGTAACCAGCTGTTAGGTCGCCAGGCGGCTCCCTCTTCGTACCCGGGGTAGTTGTGGCGAAGCCTTCGAACAGTGGGTCGTCCTCTTGAGTGCCTTCTAGTGGATTGCCCTTTTTTAGCAGAAAGAAGAGCAGCTCGTGCAGAGAGTTGGTACTCGCATAGACTGTCGCTGTCAAGCATCGTCGACAAGTGTCCGCCAATAAACGTCTCAACAAAAGAAATATGCTTGGATGCATGTATTAAAACGCCAACCTATGCGAAGTGAGGTGGCTCATGGAAAAAGGTGACGCTTGATGAAATAGCGAAGTTTATTGGACATCTCATTTATAGAGTTATTCACATCACAGGTATTGGAACACCTGGCGACTCTTTTCCCAAGTCAACAAAAGTTTACTGAGAAAAGTATATGAGTACACTTGTGTCTCATGAAAAACTATGCAACGCTTCATCGCATGGCACGAGCAATGAAGCAGAACCTTGACTCTGATTTTCTTTCGCTATGTAAAGAAAAACATTTCGTACAAAATTCATTATTTTTTATACTGTTCCTGGGCCATTTATCAACAAAACTTATATTCTGAAATTTTTTTGTTATGAATATTCCTGCATATACAGTGTTTTTTATTGCATTTTCTACCAGCTGGCAGCCAAGTATTCCCACATTTCACCTTTTTTTCATTCTAAAATATTGTTCTTGCTCTGCAACATATATTTTTCGGAAAGAGCATTTCATTGTGCAAAGTTTGGTATGCTGCAATGCGTATTGGAGTACTTTTCAAACTGCAAAACGATGTTACCGAGACATATGAAACAACAATTTTCGCACTGCAACAGAAGAGTTAATATGTCTGGAAGAGTGATACCATTTATTGAAATAAAATCCTTACTGGTACCGG